GCGAATACACAAGAAATGTCCGGTTCAGTCTTGCCCACCCCTATACCTACAGTACCTATTCTGTTGAAATCACTCGTTGCTTTCAATATTGAACACTCTAGCTGTGCGCACATATCTCACATGACTCCTTAGTTTCCTTGTCCAATAACTCATAGAATTACAATCAAACTTCAACTTACAAGGTAAGTCTCATTTAATCTTAAATGTTTACGAATTTTGTTGCTTAATTTAATTGTGTAAAACATGCACAACTTTCCTTTTCAATGAACCTGTATTAAAGTTTGCTATATTATCCTGTTTAATTTAAGGAAAATGTAAAGGAGAGCAAATTAATTTGAAAACCGAACTGAAATTAATCAACAATTTGAACTTATTTTGTTTTATAAAGTAAAAACAGTTTATCACAAAAAGCAGTTTATAGTTTGATATTAAAATGAGCACTTCAAAACATTTTACGAAGCGATTCAGGTTAAATTTTACATTAAATCAAAGCACACAAAATGCAGAACAACATACCTACTGTACATATTTCGGAAATTCATGTTATATAGTTGAAAGCAATAATCTTTGAACTATTTTTGGCATGCTGTACAAAAAATATAAAAATTAAATTTATAATTTTATTGTGTTAACACTGACGTAAATGCGAGCCAGTGTTCAGTGTTGATCAATTACTAATACTTCATGTTAAATCAATGTTTGGAAAATACATGTGAGGGGTTGCCGCATGCATGTATTTCTAGTAGAATATATATGCAGAACACACAGCGAAGCCAACTATAGACCAGTAACAGTCTTACCTGTGTTAAATTATATATATGAGAAGTTATTAGCAAGCTTATGGTGTAGAAGAGAGGAGTTGTGTGCTGCTCAGGGACTATTTATCTGGAAGACAACAAAGGGTTAAGATTGGTGACATTGTCTCTGCATGGGCAGATGTCAGACGTGGAATCCCTCAGGGAAGTGTTTTGGGGCCTACATTTTTAAATATATTTATTGATGACTTGTTTTACCATGTCAGACAAGTCAAACTAAATGCTTATGCAGATGATCATCAAATATAACATTGTGATATTGATCCTGCAGCTTTAGAAAAAAATGTGTGTGACGAAGTCAAAGTTGCAAATCAGTGGTATCATAAAAATGGAATGATTGTAAATGAGACCAAGCATCAATAACTAATTATTTGGCCAAACTGATTATTGCTTCTCCTTCCCAGCCATAAAAGAATCAATAGATGTTTGGTATGTGTAATGTTTATACTTATTACGAACTCACTATGAATAATTTGCATGAATAATTAGTGGACATGTATTTTGTATAAAAGTCTGTAAATTAAGTTAATAAAGGGTTAGTCAATTTAAACTTAGAACGAGGAGTGGACATTACATTTTGGCGACGAGGATTCAAGGATGGCTGCATTACAGACATTTCCAGCTTTTGAATTACAAGCAGGAGATCTTAGTCGAGAATGGAGAAAGTATGTGTCAAGATTTGAGAACATGCTTTTGGCCATGAATATAACAAGTGCTGTTAGAAAGAAAGCAATGTTATTACATTACGTTGGGGAAGAAGTCAACGAAATATTCGAGACCTTAGACATACAAGCAGCTGATGAAAACGAAGATGTATTGTGAATCGAAAGTGCAAATCAACTCACAAAGAAAACTGGGCGCCGTGAAATTAATCAACAGCAGAACGAAAGCCAATCGAAGTCGAAGTGCCGCTTTTGTGGTTATCAACATGTCTTAGGCAAAAATAATTGTCCTGCCTATGGAAAGCAATGTTGTGGATGTCTGAAATGGAATCATTTCAAGGGCTGTTGTAACGAGAAACATGAAGCATCGAAGCGAAACGAACAGTCAAAATTTGTGAAGCAAAACGAACAGTCAACATTTGTGAAGCGAAACGAACAGTCGAAGCGAAGCGGGCAATTAAAAAACCCCTCTGGAGGCAGTCGTCAAGTAAACAACTTAAATGGGCCCAATGTTGAATCTAGCTCAGAAGACGAGTACGTGTTTTCAACGTTGACAGTCAGTGCTATGTTGTATCAGAAGCTGCCAAAATTTAAAGTAAAAAAAATGGGACTCCGATTAATGTTATGCGGACACTGGGGCAAGTGTGACCATTTTAAATGAAGCTACTTTTGCTAAACTGAGAACAAAGCCTAAACTGAGCAGAACAAACGAGAAAATATTTCCATACGGCTCAAACAAACTGCTACCACTCATGGGCAAGTGTGATTGCGAAGTACAGACAGAGAAAAAGTTTAGCGTGGAAACTTTCTTTGTTGTCAAAGGCATGACTGGCTGCTTGGTAAGCTGGAAGGGCTCACAAACGCTTGGCCTGGTTCAAGTAGTCCAATCGGTTGAACAGCCCAGAAAAGATAAAGTAGAGTCATTGGTGGAAAGTTACAGTGATCTATTTGAAGGACTCGGAAAGTTGAAAGGATTCCAAGTTTGTTTGCATGTCGAAAATAATGTGCAACCTATTGCCCAGCCACCACAAAGGGTTCCGTTTCATGTTCAGGAAAAGCTAGAGGAACAGTTATTGAATGACGAGAAACTAGGAGTTATTGAGAAGACAGAAGGTCCTACTCCATGGGTGTCACCAGTGGTTGTAGTCCCAAAGAAAGATTCGAGTTTGTGTGGACATGCGTCAAGTTAACAAGTCCATAAAGAGAGAAAGGCACATCACCCCGACGATCAATGAAGTTATCAATGATTTGAATGGAGCTAAAATCTTCAGCAAACTTGACTTAAATCAAGGGTATAACCAGCTGGAGCTAGCGCCCGAATCGAGATATTTGACAACGTTCTCAACTCATCTTGGTCTTCGACGATTTCGATGATTGAACTTTGGAATTAATTGTGCCACTGAAATTTAACAAAATGCGATTCGAGAAGCACTCAGTGGTCTAAAAGGATCCTTAAACATAAGCGATTACATTCTGATTTATGGAACAGATGACGACGATGATGACGCCCACTTGGAGGCTGCACTTACAAGAGCGTGCGCTCACGTTGAATAAAGGAAAATGCATATTTAAGAAGTAAAGCCTCATTTTCCAAGGATACGTCTTTTCAGAGCACAGAATTTCACCCGACCCAGCAAAAGTGACAGCAATTAAGGAATTTGCTACACCAAAAGATGCCTCGGAAGTGAGAAGCCTGCTCGGCATGACAAACTTTTGTTGTCGTTTTATTAAGAATTATGCTACATTGATCCAACCATTACGAGAACTCACAAAGAAGGATTTACCATTTGTGTGGACAGGGAAACAAGAGCGAGCATTGGAGAAACTATGTGATGCCCTTACGAATGCTTCAGAAAATGCATACTTCGATTCTACCAAGACGACCGAAGTCTTCACTGATGTGAGTGTACCCCACCGGAATTAGCACCCGGAAATTAGAGACCGGAACTTGTTATAGTATGACGTAACGGGAAAATGCCCGGATATTGAAAACATGTTGTTTTGATTTAGTTTTTTTTGAGAGTTATCGAAAAAGCGTTGTAAAATACGAGGAAAATATACAAAATAAATATAAGTAAATCACCGAACCTGTGTGGAAACTTAAGTAACAAA